CACGCCATCCTGATTGGTAATAGGAATATCTGACACCATATTTTGCCTCTGGATCAGGAAACTCCTTGTACAGCTGTATACATGTTTTTATAGCCTTTGAAAGAAAGGGTATTGTCTTTAAATTCCTAAGAATACTTGGTCCAGCCCTTAAATATAAGTGGAAAACCATCCCAGGCGCTTTTTTTCCATGAGCTGAACAATCAAGAGTGAACATTATTCCTGAGGTCAGCAAGAGTTCATCTCATTACAACAAATCCAGGTTGAAACTGTCGTCAACTTTACTTATCATACAAGTGTACATTAAATGGGAAACAATGTTACTGTTTTTTTGTTTGTTTTTATAAATCCAATTCTGTTTACAGGTCCTGTTGAGTACCAGTGCATGAAATGAGTTGTAGAAAGTCTTTTGTGACACCAGAGGGATATATTGCCTCAAGTGATGTCACTTGAGTCAGCGTCCATTGGGGCTGAAGAGTGCAAGTTTGAAAATTAAAAAAATCTGAGGGTGTGGAAAGAAGAAGACAGAAGTGAGCTTACCTGACCTCTGCAGCCTGCTCCTTGTATCTGCCTTAGGCTAGCAACTAGGAGATTTTCAAAAAAGTTCAAAATTTAAAGTTCAAACTAATTTAAAATGACACGCAGTTTGTGCAAATGAATTTGAACAAATAAATTCAAAACACATTGTACAAATGTATGACACCACATGGGACTGCTAAATGTAATGACTAAAGGTTAAGACATTTGCTCTTACCACACCAATGGGCTGCATATCTTTGCATATAAATCTTTGCTGTCTTATCTGTGAAGACACCAATGCGTCTGGCTGCACAGTGGCAGTTCATACACTTGACTTTGCTCTGTTCACCTGTGGTGCCTCCGCTCTGCTGCCTCACTTGGGTGGCAAGCTAACGTTAGCATGTGAGTATGCAGATTTGTTGTAGTTGTAGAGTTAGACAGCTGCTTTGTTCAACGTCGACAGAAGCACATTGCCTCTCAGATGCTTTGGTGTCGCAATTGATTGTTCACTCAGGACAGCTTTGCTCCTTGCCTTGCTGCTCACTAGTGTGCTCCATTTTCATAGTAAACAACATAACACTTCTAGCTTAGTTTGCTGACAGGTCATAGGTCATGCCGTAGGTCAAGCTGAGAGTGGAGCGCCCTCTGCTGGGTCAGAAACTACTTTAAACAGTCTGTTGTGCTTATAGACTGTACATTTTGAATTTGAACTGGTCATTATACTTTGTAATTGAAACAAATTTTAAACCACATTTTTGGAATTTCAGATAAAAAGTGACCGTCCCACTTGCAGCTCGACGCTACATTAGCTGCTACTAGCATAACGCACCCAAATCTCTGACCTAACCGTAGGCGGTCAACTTGCCTCGAGGGTATAGGTACCAGGTTTTGACAAGAAAGAAGAATGCGTGGAATAAAAAAGAAGATATCTCTGGTTCTGCTACATTGATTTTGATCCTTTTTAAAAACTGTCAATTATGAGCCTGACATGCAATAAAAGTGCAATTCTATATCAGTGGATGACTGTATTAATATAAAAAAGGAACTCTGTGATTCAACATGTTCCTCAAAATAACGGAACAGCTTCAGGTTCAACTTTTTTCTGCCCATTTTCTGTCATCACCCAAACATCTATTCTGTGGTGTTAAAAAAAAAACCCTCCGTGGCTGCCCTCTCTGCCCCCCCTCTCCATCTTCTCATCGCCAGGGGAGACGGGCCTCGTCAGAAGCGAGGCGTGATGAGGAGCGGCCTTATCACTCCAATACAAGAGCAAACACAGGAGTCTTTACAGCACGTCGTCTCAGGAAGCAGCGCACGGCAAGATTACTGCCCTTTAAGAAGCCCTAAGACACGACCAATCCCAAGTAGTGTTTTATCTTGACAGTTTGCAGCGCTTTGTTTGCCTTTTCTGTGAAGCCTGGGGATAAAAGAGCAGCCTCTGTGAGCTGTGTCTGATTAGGATCTAATTGTTAACATTCACTGTGCCTTTTTTATTATCTAGTCTGGTGTTGCCATACATGCAGCAGGTAGAGGCCTTTTCAGTGTTATGAAGGACTCTCCCCTTGCTGCTCTCGTGTGTTACTCAAGTACTAGTTAGCACTAAGGTGGCAGGAGAGGAGCCCCCAGCTCGTCGACATCAACAACAACAACAACAACAACAACATCAACAAACAGGAATTGATGGCGAGTGTTTATTATCTGGTTTAATTGCTCCTCATCTGGAGGATCTGACAGTTGCGGTTAATGAGAGAGGGAGAGGAGGCACGAGCTGTTGGCAGCGAGCTTCATAGTGTAAGACGCGTGTGTGTGTGTGTGTGTGTGTGTGTGTGTGTGTGTGTGTGGTAAAAAAAGAGGAGAGACCACATACAGCTCAACAAAACTAACATGAACATCAAATCTTTATCGAATTATTAAAACAGGTCCCTAAATCAAGAATTAACGAAAGAACCAGAGGCCTTGTTCTACAGTAACTCCTCAACAAATGCACCTGTAAACCTGCAGACACGCACACACAATCACACCCCACACCAGATCTTAGCCCCTGTGCAGGCTGTGTACACTAATCAGATGCCAAGCAAAGACAGGATATCACTGAAATCGAGCCTCTTCCTCAATTTTTCATCTGGCCTGCAGCGGCCCTGGCTCGAGTCCAACCAGGGACCTCCCTGACATTGTGCAGTATCACGCACACACATCCAGGCACGTTCTGACAAAGAATAGTGTCAAGACCAGTAGGCCTGTAAGCAAGAGCGGATGCTCGGAGAAGGCTTGGAGGACAGGAGCGTTGTTTTCTGTTTTCTCTCTCTCAGAGGAAAGAAGAAAATGATGAGAGAATGAGGCAGATTGAATGTCTTCAAGTGATACTACCCCTGCACTGAATGCCAGACACACACATAAACACACATATAAACACACACCACCACAACCACCATCAGAGGCTCGTTGTCCCATTCATAAATTTCTCCCGTTGAGAAACACGGGCATATCTTAAACAGGGCATACCCGCCCCTTTTACTACTCCAGCTCAGCAGGCCCACATGGGAACAATTAGGGGTATACGCAAGTTTGGCGAAGGTCCGTAGCAACCAGCTGCATCTGTTTTTATTTACCTTTTGCTCTGGTGCTGGATAATGTCATGAGCACATCTGCTACTGTGCAACGCAACCGTGGTTACATGCGTGGTTGACCCATGATTCTGTAATTACCCGCCGAGCGAGATGAAGAGGCCCAGCAAACCACTCAAAGCCACACAAAGCCTTCCTCCCCCCTCTTCCTCCCATGCGTCTCTCCAGTGGCATGAAATCCCGCCTGCCTCGCCAAAACACGGTGCTGAGAGCTGGTAGCTGGAGAGTAGAGGTTGCTGAAGTGGCATTTAATGACCCAAAGTTGTCCACAATAGTAATTTTGACTTCATTTTGGTGTCATTAAATTGCCAGTCAGTTAATGACACTCTCTTTCTATTATGCAGGATCAAATGTGGTTATTCTCGAATGAGATGAGCTGAGATGAGATGCACTTATCAAATTTCCTGATGTGATCTTATTGCTTGTTTGTGGTCACATGGCACAAGCTGCACAATTTGTCACCCAGTCTTGTTGTAGGGCTACTTTGGGAGGTCTGACAACCCGGAACATTAACTAGAAATATTTTATGTTTCGCAGCATCATGGTGGTTTCTGCAGATAAGTTCAGAGAGATCTAATCAGGGGAAACACACAGTCCACACAAGAACTTACAGTAAATGTCTCCACAGAGGGTTCTTCTGTGTCATGTAATGAGACTTGGATTAGTCACAGGTGGCAAATTCAGTTGCACGGTAGAGTAAAGAAGATGTTTCAGAGCTCTGAATTAAACCAGAAAAAAATGTCACTTTCTCCAAAGGTCTGGTGTTTGTTTCAAATTCTGAGAATTCACATTATATATATATATATAAACCTACAGCGACCAATCAAGACAGGCCTTGTTTATAATAATGATGAGTGATTATGAGCAATAACAATGAAGACCATATATGGATCACTTCACAGAAGCAGTGTGTGTGGGGGTTGGGTGCCACCATGCTTAGCATCTCCCAGATGTGCAAACCATATGCTCTGACTGAAATTAAAACAAAAAAAGAAACAGTGAAACATGAAAGGGATTTTTAACTTTGTAAAGACAGTTAACAGTCAGTACAGATAGGGTAATGACCGACAGAGGCCACATGAAAGAACCGGGGATGTTGGCGTGCTTTTTGCACCACTTATTCCATTTCCTGCCCATAAGTTCACTGAGCAGATGGGGACCAAAGGCACAAGGAAGTTTAGATTTTCTGCCCCACAGCCCATTGTATATGATGCATGTAACTGCGTAACACTGCACTGTTATCATTTACAGAAGCTTTGGTGCGTACCAGGAGGTCACAATAACAAAGGTGAAAAAAAAGTTGGAAACACAAGTGAAACATCTCCATTTTAGTCAAGGGGATTTGGTTCATGCCTGTAATTTTGTATGGAATATATTTAAGGAGATTATAGTTAAAACAGCTAATTAACTATACTGGCAAAGATGGCCCCAATTAAAGTAAACTTCATTTTCTACTACATTTGCATTGCTAAGTGGTAATTCATGATTCATATACAGCTCAACTGCCACACAAAAACAAAAAATCAACAAAAAGCAAATAATATTAAAAATATGTCTACTGCAAAAATATTTAAAACTGGTTTATTTGGATTAGAGTGTCTGCAGACAGGCTGCAGGCCCATCCAGAGTTTACTGAAAACACATTCAATAGTGCCCTCTCCTGTTTGTTCAGTATACTGCACCAAAGCTACACAAAGCAACACCACAGTAGTTGAATGTGTAATGACTCTAATACTTCGAGTCAGAAAATGGATTTGTCTTTTTCAGAGAAGAAAAATATGTTTGTAAAGTGCCAGTCTCACCGTAAGAAACATAAAACTCCTGAAAGTCTGAAATGAATCATTGACAAGCAGACAGTCATTGAAAATCGAGTCTTTATTATGAGTTTTTATATAACGCAAGGCTGCTCCTGGAGATGGCATCAGGTTTAACAACTGCTTGGTCTTCTCTACGTCAGCCTGTTGTGCTGCCCGAATAGAGACATGTTTATTTAACGCCTGCCTTGTCTGCGTCTGGATAATGTCCAGCCTCAGGCAACGGCTGGCAGAGGTCTGGTTGTATTTCTGCTTGTATAATCAACCTTCACAGCACTGACTGACCACAGCATCACCTTTAAAGACTGCAAACAGACGTAGCTGTAACACATGACACCAGTGAGAATTAAAACAAAAGAAGCAAATCAAAAGGCTTTAAAGTAAGTGTCAAGTCTGTGTGAGTACATAAAACTAAGAAAATTACATTTAATAATCACAGATTTCACAGATTTTGTCCAGTTTCTACTCCTCCCAAATCCACTTTGGTTTACCCTGTTCCTGCTGCTCTTTATTCCCACTGGTTGTGTGTAATTGTTGGTATTTTTGTTCCGGTGGAACCGTTGATGAGTCAAGGAAAACTGGCTCTGCTGAAATATTTGCGGTTGCATTGTGAAAATCCAAAAATCTTGTTCCATTCGCATTAATGGAAGTAATATTGTCACCATTAAACCTGGAAGATGAATGTCCACTTTGACTCTTAGACGTCACATCAGTGTGGAGATTAAAACTGCGGCCCTCCATCTGTGTGTGAGGTGATAATGTTGTGGAAAACTCTGCTCTCATCTCTTCCAAAGGACCGCTCTCGTTCAGCTTCCCTACAGGGATGGTGGAGTGGTCCAGGGTAGTGAAATTCTCACGTTTAAAGTTGAGCGTGGACAGCCATGTGGTGTTTGGACCAGCAGAGAGTGTGATGTGTGACTCAGCAGCCCTGGCTGTGGAGGTATGACAGCATCATTTTAGTAAAGGTGAAATGAATTAACATCCATAACTGATATTTATTGACATTTTTATTTAGCTGTTTGATTTAATAATAATGTGGAATTTTAGCTGAAGGAGTGACATTAATTGTTCAGGATTTACACACAATATTACAAACTTTCTCCATAACAACACTAATTAAATCTCAGTTTCCCTGCAGTAACTCCATAAAATAATATGTCCCTGTATTATTATTATTCCACCCACTGAACTTGCAAGTCCAAAACTGGTTTGATAGAAAATGAGTTTGACACAAGAAGGCTGTTTTCACACAGGATTTTGTGACATCACAAATATTTTGGAAGCCAATCGTGATCCAGTGTATTACTTACACCAGTGTGCTGAGGAAACCTGAAGCCTCCAGTGCACACTGAGATTGGATCTACAGTGAAGTGAAAAGGAGACCTCTTGTGTCCAGCAGACACAAAGCAAGCTTTTGAAATGAACAGTATTTGCATAGTCATAGTTTGTTTGTTGTGGATTTTTGTTTGTTTTAACAAAGGGAAGGGAAATTTTGTGAATTTTTGATAAGGTTGTCAAAGGTAATGTCTTTAGGGGGATCTTAATACCAAAAATGGTAACATTATTATATTATTTTGACTGTAAAAATGATAATTTCAAGTAGAATCTCTATAATAATGTAGTTGATAATAAGGTTTATTATCATACGTACATTATTATAGAAAAGGTTGATAACAAAACTACCACTAAGGGATATTACAGTTTAATCTGATAAAAGCATCATCAATAGATTCACATCTTAGTATCATTAAGATTAAATCTTCTCTCTATTTTGTTTTAGTCTTTTATACTTTTACTACTTATGAATTACATATATTGTACATGTGTTTGATTATATTAAGTTTCATTTATTTCTGTTGTCTTCTTTTAGTTCAGGGTTTTTTCAGTCAGTCACTTTTGTTTTAACTTTTGTTTCACTTTAAATTGTATGAAAGGTGCTATATAAAGTTAAATGATTGGTTGACTGAGCAACAAACAAAAATAAGTGCCTGGTGTTACAACAGTAAAAGCCTTTCAATGGCTAGTGGTCAAAATATCATCCAATAATTAATCACCACTTTAGTTTTACTGTGTTCATCAGCAGCACACTCACCTGTGCATGGCAGTGTGTTCTCCATGGTCCAGTGCATTTTGTGATTTGTCTCTTTGAAGGTGAGCACAACATCCACCCTGTAGAACGGCTGCAGGAGTTGTTTGCTGTCTGCGCAGGCCTGTAAAACAAACCTGGCTTAGATGTTTTACACTGTAATGAATCCTTATGGGGAAAAGACACACAGTACTTAGTAGAAATTTCAGGAACTGGCCCCACTTCATTACACAAAATGTACTGCCTGTTGTTTCAGCACTAACCTTGGTCTGGAGTATTCGGGCTGTAGGAATGGTCAGTGTCACAAATTCACTCGTCTCATTCACAGTGAAATTATCTGTCTGCTTCACCGACACATTACTGACTGTCAGTGCTTCACTGTCGTAGCTGCCCCGCTTGGTCAAACCCATGTGTCGTTTGAAAATGTGCAGCACAGTCTCCTCTGCTGTGGACGTGGTCACTGAAATCAGGGATAACATTTGTTACTGGGATCAGTGGTGGAAAGTAACCAGGTACGTTTACTCAAGTACTGTGCTTAAAGGACCAGTGTGCAGGATTTAGTGGCATCTCGCAGTTTGTCAATTCTGGGCTACTGTAAAAAACATGGCGATTCAACACAGCGGGCTACACAGTAAGCGACCCGCGGCATTTGTAGATATAAACAGCTCATTCTAAGGTAATGAAAACACAACAGTTCTTATTTCAGGTGATTATACATTAATGAAAACATATAAATATCATCCTCTGAAATGTTACACACTGGACCTTTAAGTTTCAATTTTGAGATACTTGTATTTAAGTATTTTAATTTTATGTTACTTTATACTTCTACCTCATTACATTTCAGATGTAAATATTGTACTTTTTACTGCACTACATTTATTTGACAGGTGTAATTATTGGCTACGTTTCAGGTTAATAGTTTACAAAATAAAACATATGATAAGTTTGGGTCATGGCCCCTTACAAAAGAGCAAAGTCTACTTGGGGTCTCTAAACATCTCAGATGGTGTCACTTAAATATTTTTTCAAGGCCCAAAGAAGTACAATTATACAATGATTGAGAACCACTGAATTAAACTACCTAACTTTATATAAAGGGGTTAAAACTATCTCTTGCTTGACCGGCCACAACAGTAAAATGCTACTTACAAATTAATGCATCTAACCTTGTAATAATAATAATAACACTGACAGGTTATTTTTCCGCAGAACCATTACTTTTAATTTGTATATTTTAAACATATTCTGCTGTTAATGCTTCTGTATTTTTGGATGAGCTTTTACTTGTAATGGAGTATTTTTACATTGTTGTATTTGTAATTTTACATAAGTACATGATCTGAATACTTCTTCCACTATTGACTGGGATAAACATGTTAAAGCTTGTGCTGTGACAAAGGAAAATAACTTTGACTACTGATTCTCTGCTTGCTTACATACCTTTTGGACATGTGGCTTCCATACTGTAGGCAAACTGTCCACTAACCAGCTTTAAGGCCAAGAATTCCCCTTCATTTTCCATTACCTGCATTAACCAAAGACAGTTTAGTGAATTTCAGCTGTAACACTGCCAGTGGTCACTAGATGGCAGTGTGCTATGTGAGGTTTCTTACTTTGACAGGGCTCATAACCTCCCTCCTCCTGCCTTGAACTGTAATGTCAGCTCCAGTCATGTCAATGGTCATCTGGATCAGGCTGGCATCATCCAGAGCTACAATGAGGTGATCACTCAGAGACAGAGACCAATGCAGCTGTAGAGCACAACCAAATAAGCAAAGACAAAAACACAGTCAGACAGTCTGTCTGTTTTTTTGTTTTTTTATATTTCTTTACATTTATAGTGCAACCATATTTTCAAGGGCTGATTTCATTTAGTACCTCATTATGCCAGTTGTCATAGGGAACTTGTCTGGTCACCTATAGACACATATACATCTTATCAGAATAAGAAAGCAAAATACCTGGGTAAAACAATTAAAAGTTAAACCTACATTCTATGAACTCCAGTCAACAGTTACCTGAATATACTCTGGGTCACACTGGAGTTGCTCTCTGCTGGGCAGCACAGAAACAAAGGGACACTTCATCATGAAACTGTGAGGTCTGCCTCCAAATCGGTTTATCCTCTTCACCAAATTCAGGGTCAGGACATGGTAGCCGCTCTGAACAGTCAACATACATCAAGGAATTATTTCCACCAAGCCCAGTGGTAAAGGTCAAATGGCAGTTTCTGTATGTGGATTAGATATTTCTTAAAAGTGTGACACACCTGTTCCTGGACCAAACATCCAGTGTAACTGACTCTAAAAATAAAGTTCTTATCAGGGTCTTTGTACAGAGAGAATCCACAGGCAGACAGCTGGAGGTTTAGGTGATCCAGAGATGCAAGGTTGACTTGTGGAAAGCAAAAAGTGATTCAGAACAAATATATTTACATATTTAATCTCCACGTTGTGTTTATCTTTATGTCAGAAATAATTACCTTGGATCCGTAAGGCCCCAGACAGCCAGACTCCCAACCCTTCAATCCGTGCACTGTGGATCCACATCTCCATGTATTCAGAAAAACAAGCCACATCTCCTTCTGAAAATGCAAAGACATTTTCTCACATATGACGCAAAAGGACCAGAAACAACTGCATGTCATCACAGAATTAAGGTTTACCTGTTACTTTTGCTGCCTGGGTACCAATCCATTCTCTTTTCTGAACTGAAAGCACATTCCTTGTGATAAAACACTGCAAAACACTGTAGGAAAGAATGGAGAAGAATTGAGCTTATATTTTGAAGGTAGTGAATGGTTTTATGCCATTTTTGTACAACATTAGGCTACTCACATAGTTCTGAGTAGGATGCCAAATCTTTTCTGATCCATGACACTTCTACTGATGAAAACACCCGTGAGCAGTCTAACCCCAGTCTATTTTATAGGTGAGTGGGCTGATGTCACTGCAGGGAGGGGAAAAACAAAACAGGTGTGTTTGCTCTGACATATTAAAGGCAAGTGGCAGAAAACAGGACAAAGAATTATTACTGTCTCCAGCATGTGTGAATAACAGGTTTTAAAGCAGTTGTAGATGCCCAATTTGTCCAAGGTGTTGTCATTAAAGAATTTGTGGTGAAGGTCTATGATAAGTTAACCCCTTAACATCCAGTTTTACCTTTTCACATCTTAAGTAGCTTTAAAATAATACCTAAATATCACATACATTCTGTGTCACCTTGTTTCATTCCTTCATTGAAATTATATGATGTTTACAATGACTGAAATATTCCAACCAAGCTGTCAATAGGCACCAACCCATAAAATACAAATATTTTAGATTTCTCATACACATTGGTTGATAACAGAACTACTACTAAGGAATAGGATAATACAGTTTAATCTGGTAAAAGCAGGAAAATTCTTGTGGATACAAATTGGAAGTAAATATATGCAATATATAATAAACATTGTTGTGGGTTTGAATCTTTGGCTGCAGATAATAGGTTTGTAATGGCTGTAACACTGGTGGGTTGGTTAGGTGTTGCATTCTCACATTATGATTTACGTACGTAAACTACGTACGAACATACGTTTTGACAAAGATCATTTTAGGCCTTATTGGGCATATTATAATAGTATTTCATCATAATCATAGTTTATTCAGTTCTCTGAAAATGTAATCCAAAAAGCCCCCAAAAAATCGATTAAACTCATACCACAGAAAATAAAATGTTTTACAGGACACATGGTTGCATGATAATAATATTATTATTATTATTATATACAGATATTTTATTGTTGTACAGAATTTCTCAGTGCGCACCTTTTGTTTGGGCTTTTAAGGGTGAATCTTTATGGTTAGAATTCAAAGGGTGAATCGCGAACTTTATACTTTCCCCGTTGCAAGTAATACAACACGAAAACATCAGTAAAGTTAACCACATAACGTCTAAGTCACGGTTATAAAAAGCTAAACGACAGCTGGTGATCTAAAGTCAAACTAGTGACCTAATGTTTTTAATTTTAACTTTTGGCATCCCTACAAAAAACAACAGTGTGCCCTCCCAACTAGGTGATGTCATCTCTACAAGATGCGCAGCCATTTTGTTAGCTAGCTTGAGGTTAGAGAGGTTAGCCGCGTATAGCTGCAAATATCCACTGTGGTCTGACGATTTCGTACTTAAATTTTACTGAGCAAGATAACTTGTTGATGTTGTTATTTGCGTTTAATTGTCGACTACACGCTCGGAGCCAAGAGGGGGACCTGTGTGTTTGTGGAGAGTAAACACAGCGCGAAACTGGATGGTCATTCATTTTTCAAGCCGTCTTGAGTTTGCTAGCTTGTCGGCTAGCTGGCTAACTTGTTTACGCGTGCTGTCAGCAGATAAGAAAATACACAGTATTCATGGCCGCGAGCTGTTAACTGTAAAGAGAGTTGTGGAGTGAGTGTTTAGCGTTTCACACGGTTTGTCTGTCTGCGTCTGGCTGCGCTTGCACTTGAGTTGCGTCACCCAGCTAACAGAAGTAAAGTTCAGCGAGGATCGACGCTACCTCGTGGGCATCAATCCGGTGTTTACTGGTAACTTGAGCTCCATCAGCTGATTCCACCTGGACCAGCGCTCAGCCATTCAGAGACCATGTCCGAGTTGTACATTCGTGTGGCTGAGGATGAAAACGAGGAGCCCATGGAGATCCCCTCAGAGGACGACGGCACCGTGTTGCTGTCGTCGGTAGCAGCACAGTTTCCAGGGGCGTGCGGGCTGCGGTACAGGAACCCAGAGTCCCAGTGCATGAGGGGAGTCCGGCTAATGGAGGGGGTCCTCCATGCGCCTGAGAACGACTGGGGAAACTTGGTTTATGTCGTCAATTACCCCAAAGGTGAGGCAGGTGTTGGTGACTTCGGGTTCCCCCCCATCTTCACTGTGTCATTATATGATCAAAAGTATGTGGTCAATCCTGTCCACACTGAATTACCAGATTATTAGGTACACCGAGTCACAACCAGTGCTTTCTATTACACAAGCCCTACCTTCTTGGAATAATGTTAAAACTGTACAGAGGTGTTGATTCGTGCAAAATAGTTTAACAGCAGCCATAAGTTGAATCAGTGCAGCTGTAGGTCTTATTGTTAGACTGCATTCATGTTAGCTGGATGTGCCTAATAAATTGGCCACAGAGTCTGACCCCCTTAGTTCTAACACAGAGACACGTTAATACACCATCATGACAATATTTCTGTGTAACAGTTAACAGTTAAAGCCTGGTCCCGTTGTAATACGACAGTGCCCTTGTACTCCAATCCAAGTCTGTAAAGAAATGTTTTTTGAAGATCTCTGGCCTGCACTGAGCCCTGACCTCACCCCTACGAGCGCCTTTGGGAAGAACTGGAATGAGCAAGGTTTTAGCGCTCAGCACCAGTGTCTGCACTCTCTAATGCTCTTCTGGTTGCATGGGAGCAAATCCTTGCAGCCTGCTTCCAAATCTCATTGATATCTTTCACAGAAGGTTGTTATAGCAGCATATACATGCTCATGGGTCTGTTCGCCAACAACCAGATATGGAGCTAATGATGAGGTGTCCACATACTTTTGGCCATGTATTGTATCTTGGTCGACCACCAGACAATGAAGAGTTCAGAGGGTCAATGTTTAACCTGATTTCATTTCATTACCTGCATGTTTTTCCATATATAACTCATATCTATTTATTCTTCACAGATAACAAAAGGAAGATGGAAGAAATAGATGCTGCCTCAGCTGTGAAAATAAAAAGGGGCTTTCAGAAGACATCAGATCTCATTGTCCTCGGGCTACCGTGGAAAACAACAGAACAAGACCTGAAAGATTATTTTACCACCTTTGGGGAGGTCATCATGGTGCAGGTAAGGGACGTCTCGCCTGCATCTCAATATTTTTAATTGTGATATGGATACCTTCTTATGTTTCTGACTTAGTTCAAACTGGTAATAAAGGTTTCATTTCCTTTTCATCCACTCCAGGTCAAGAGGGATGCAAAGACCGGAAACTCAAAGGGGTTTGGGTTTGTCCGGTTCACAGAGTATGAGACACAAACCAAAGTGATTGCTCAGAGACACATGATTGATGGACGATGGTGTGACTGCAAACTTCCCAACTCAAAGGTACATGTGGTGCCATTTTTAAAATAAATTCAGATTGTCTGGATCAGATGTTAATATATTGGTTGTCATCTGGACATTTTTGTTTAGTCTTGCACGTTAATCCTGAGTTCTGTATCTGGTTGAAAAATAAAAAGACTTAAATGCATGTCACAAATATGTATTAAATGTTGGAAAACTTACTTAAAACATCATGTAGATTGCTTCATTTATTGCGGTGCCTCTTTGTCCTCTCAGGCGTGTCCTGATGAGCCCATGCGGAGCCGTAAAATCTTTGTTGGCCGCTGCACAGAGGACATGACAACTGATGAACTGAGGCAGTACTTCATGCAGTACGGCGAGGTCACTGATGTCTTTATCCCCAAACCTTTCCGGGCGTTTGCATTTGTCACATTTGCTGATGACCAGGTGAGATTCCCCATTAATGGGGCAGTTTGATTATTCATTAATAATGTGATAATGACTCTAGTGACAATCTTCTCCTCGCGCCTTTCTCAGGTCGCCCAAGCTCTATGTGGAGAGGACTTGATCATCAAGGGCGTCAGCGTGCACATCTCCAATGCCGAACCCAAACACAATAATAGTAGGCAAATGATGGATCGTGGGCGGTTTGGGGCTGGTGGGTTCAGTCAGGGCTATGGCAGTAATCGTGGGGGGCTAGGCAGCGGTAGCGGTGGGGTTAACTTTGGGGCTCTTGGTCTTAACCCAGCAATGGTGGCTGCTGCCCAGGCAGCGCTGCAGAGCAGTTGGGGAATGATGGGCATGCTGGCTAACCAGCAGGGTCTGACCACGACGGCAGGCACAGCCACTACGACCCGAGACCAGACCTATAGCTCTGCCAGCACCAGTTACAGCAGCCCCAGCTCAGCTAGCCTCGGTTGGGCTGCAGGCACTAACACCGCCTCCAGCAGTGGCTTCAGCTCCGGCTTTGGCAACTCTATGGAGTCTAAGTCTTCTAGTTGGGGAATGTAGATAGCTTTGAGTTGACCTTTTCTGTTGCAATTAGGTTAATCTGGTAAGTATACCTACAGGGGGGAACTGCTTATATCTTATGTTCCTATTATTTAAAAATATACACTGCCTTTTATTTTGTTAAAGAGAAAATTTATACTTGCGTGTGACTGATTATGTAGTCATGCATTGAATGGGTGAAAAGTTTAATTTAGTGGAAACTGCCACAGTCCATCTTTTTTGTTTTTGAGAAAATGTTACACTGTGCATGCAAGATAAATATCTATAAACATGCACGAGAGCCCCCTCAGCCCCTTGTAAAAATGGGCTTGATATAATTATATATGTGTATGCAGTTGTTTTCATCTTTTTTGTTTGTTTTTGTTTGACGTCTTTTGGAAACGCCTTCATGAAAATCTCTTCTGCAGTTCACCAACTCTTTCCCAATTTCCCGGGAGGAAGCGCCTCATTGGCAGCAATGTTCGACAGATCTCAGTATCAATTCCCCTCTTCCCATGTGTAAATGCTTTGTCATCAAAGAACACAGCTTCACTCTGCATATACTGTGTTAGACGGTGGGTGTTGTCTTTTTTTCCTCTCCCCTTTTTATGGATATAGAAATCGTGTCTGCTCTTGTCGCTTTTCGAGATCAATGAGTGGGATTGGTGTTGGACCGAGTGAGAGTGAGCGAACGGGAGAGCAAGAAAGCAAGTGTGAGAAGGACTGTTTGTGCAGAATTTTTTTTAAAGAGACAAATGCCTGCGAGAGTTGAGAAGAACCTGTGGCTTTGTGCGAGTGTGAGAGGAAGCAACAAGTACGAGTGTGTTCCTAATGACCATCACAAGGACATTTATTGCGTCTCGAGATCCCTATGGTCTCTGCTTTCTCTCATTGTTTTCTATCAACTTTAATTCTTTAAAAACACAGTGAAATGTCAAGTGCTATAAGTATTTGTATTCTTTTGTAGCTTTTTCTTGCTGTCTGATTTGATGTGAATGCTGTGTCTGGTTGTGTGCTTTATTTTCTCCTTGTTATCACCCTCTCTGTGTGAAAATGTGACTTTGTGCTGAAGTCTGTATGGGGGAAAACACTGAAAGTGTGTTGAAGTTTGCAAGTGAGCTCAGAGGTTGATGTGGTGAATGTTTGACAAGTTCCCACTGAAAGTTTGTGTTTGAAGTGGTTACGAATGCATTTTCTATGTTTTGTGAATCAAAGGGAAGTCTGAAATAAAACTGAATTTGACTAGGTATGATACACTCTTGACAGTGACTTATTTTTGACTTTACATTAATTGAACTGCCAACACTTTAATTCACATGTATAGGGACCTCGGACATGGACATCCCAGGTTTTCGTCTGAATCCAGGTTGGAGTCAGTTACGGAGAAGCTGAAGACATTGTTGGGTGGGCCGGCACACACCAACAATGGAATTGCTGCACGACTGCCTTAATCCTGAAAAGGATCTTCACCTCACTAGCAAGAAACCATGGACCATTCCATAATGAAATTTAGAGCGGACCATACTCAATTGGGCTGAGGTATTTGTTTATACCTACAAATGTCACAAATAGGACCAAAGTCACACCTGCAGTTTGACAGTGATCATACTTATTCTTTTTCCAAACCTGTAAAACAAAGCCTGCCTTTAACCTGAAAACATGCATTTCTGTCAGTAAATGCTTTATTCTTTGTCCTCATAACAGTCACTGATAACTTATCCAAGTATTAACTGGTCGGTTTCTTTTCAATGTGATCAAAAATAATTTCAATAAGGCAGTATGTGTTCTTGTTTTTTTGTTTGCTATGATTGTAAAGTGGTTGGATTGTATGAGCTGAGTGATTTTCAAAGGGACTTTAACAACTGATTGAACATGCCAGCAGGAATTCACACTTTCTGTATTGAAATATTTTAGTATTGCGGTGTAAAATAAAAGTTTTGAGTTTTTAATCACCTGTCGTCTCTCAATGTAGATAAACATTGTAGCTTAATAAGTATTTTTCTAACTGGACTCCACCTCTAGCTCCTTTTTTTCCCCTTTCTTTTTTTAACCATGCCTTCAGTTCAATTGATTTTGACATTTTCTTTGGAAGTTCTGATTTGGTCCTTGATATAAAATATGCTAGTAAGTGCCCTGCACTTGGTAGTGTTGAAGCTGGCTGGTTGGTAGGTGTAGTTTTAATGCTCTCCCTATTGATGGTGCTAATACGCCATTTTGTAAACGCTTTTGGGACAAGACTCTTTATGTATTGAAACATACCTAATAACCTTTCGTTTGCAAAGGGTTGTTGGTGATTTTGTGTTTTTTAGATTTGTTAACACACCAGCTGAGGAGTACTAAGAATCTAAATGAAAGCAATTTAGATTCTTAGTCCTCAGAAATAACATTGGGATGCCCAGTGAAAGACTGAAGAAGTTGCAGTGCATTGTATACAATACAAAACTAAAATAAATTCCTGCTGGATGTCATCAACTGCAGATATTATGAAAGACACTTTTTCATGGTAATTTAGAAAATGGGCCTAAAATGTGTCATCAGTTCCTTGACCTGATAGAGGACAAGGTTTCCAGGAGGGGGAGGGTTATTTGAAAAAAAAGATCTCTGAAGGGTGGGGTATTGGAAAATCCCATTTTTGGTATGAATTATTTGACATTTGAAAAAGAAAAAGGTACAGTTCATAAAACCTGTGCATCAATTTCTGTTGCAACAAAATTAAATGCTTTAAGATCATAATTTACAAATGTAAAAAAAAAAATCTAAAACATAGAATTTTAAATCTGAGCTGCGTGAAACACAAGTCCCAATCTGTTTTATTTATGTTAAAATAAAATACTAATGATAATAACAAAGGACTGTACAGGTCTCTAGAATAATTCAATTAAAACCTGTAATGGTTCTACCTTCACACCAGGCTCTGAGGTTCATTAATTTCCTGCATCAGAGATAACGCCTACATACAGACAGCCATGAGCCACAAACATCCCTAGGTATAGCTGCAGTTTAATTGAAGCTCGCTGCTGGGAACACAGTGTGAATGGATGTGCTTTCTCCTGCTGCTGGCAGGCTGAGAAGGTCTTCCAGAGGAAGTTCTTGCAGGGTGGTCCATTCCAGGAGACGATGTGGTTTCTGAGGGTCCTCTATGCCAGCGTCTCACTGAGGTACTTCACTGAACCCAAACTGTTGCTCAGTCATTCCTGAAACCATCTGCTGCAACTCCCTCTGCACCTCTGCAGTTTCTAATGAGAGAGAAACTCAGGTTCAACCTTTTAAATCTTTCTAAAAAATGTACAGGTAAAGGTGCAGTTGATACATACAGGCAGAGTCAGAGCAACAACACAGCTAAAATTGTAGTTATTATAGGAAATTACAAAACAAACCTCTTCTACTGTTGCAATACTAGATTGATCCCACAGAAATCATCAGATTAAACATTATAAGAAGACTATCAACTGACCTGACTGTGTGACAGCGCTAGGTTGTTATTGTTTGTTTGAACATGAATAATATCTCCATACGTACATGAACATCAGACAGATTAGAGTCGCTATCTCTCATGATGGCTGCCCTGTTCAAAAGATCTAATTTGAGCCCCTGCTGCCTGATTTATAGGCCCTCGCTCAAAGGTATGGTCATCCATATTAAGCAACTCTCCATGAACCCACTTCATTTTATCATGTCTTATTGTCTTATTTATCCTCATTTGGTAAGAGCAGTAATGTTCAGTAAACAAAACCTGAACCTGTGTAACATGAGGTATTGTCTTATTTAGTTTAATTCTGATTTACAACAACAAGAAGTGGACCACTTTTAAAAAGTAAACACCTTTTGAAAGGGAGAGCTGGAGAATGAAATTCAGGTCGCAGTTCCCTTTATGCTACTCGTAAAAAACTAAATATATATATGGTGAATCTGATGAATCGGTTGCATAAATAATTTTATGATGGAGTGCTGAGGATGAATTAAGCAGTCTCTCAGCCTGAGGGAAGAGGCCGTTCTTAAGGCTGGTGGTACGGGAGCAGATTCATCTGTATCCCTTTGTCTGACAGCAGCAGGGTGAACAGGTTGTGGTGGGGTGGGGTTGGTACTGTCTTTTATTATCTTCTGGCCATTGTGTAGGCACCTCACCTCTCCAGTACCACTGATACTCGGTAGATGAGTACCATTGAAGTGAGTACCAATGTAGTGCTTGTTCCTCTGTAGCAGGGACCTCCATTGTTATCCAGAAACACATCAATAAGCCACACTGTTACACTGGGTTCCTTCATTATGATGATCAATAGATGATGAGTCTAACAGACACTCCCCTGCTGCCTGTGGCTGAATATAATCCCCATCAAATGCACTATTTTAAAGTATATGAGTGGAAATGTTTTAGTTAATTTTTAGTCTATTTTATATATTGATGGTCAGTTTTTAAAGATTTACATCCCCAGTAGGAACCAGTGGACTTATTGTTGTTTTTTTGTCTTTTTATGAAAATGTACTTGTTTTGATATTCACCATCATTTGGATGAACGTTGTTGTCCACATCAGAAATCCAGGAAGTAGAGAGCGTTTGATCTTGAAGAAATCAAATTGTATCTGTTGTCCAGTCTTCCTGCTTCATTATGCATCATCATGCTGTCTGGTATCGCCCTGCTGCCTGCTTCGTCTGCAGATGACTCAGCGAGCCTCATCCTCCACCTGCACTGCCTTCACCGAGCTCTAATAGCCTCTTGTGCTCTAATGCAACCTCTGCTCGCCATCAGGCCTCGTTAAGAATACAAGGCCATATTGTGGACACTGTTCTGTCCTTTGGATTAATTAAGCTTTAAAGAAAAGCGATAGGAACACAGACATTTATTTTTCATTAACCAATGGGATGAATCCAAATAACAGAGTAGAGGGGCCTCCTTGAGGGCCGACAGTTAAAAACCTCACTCTGATACTGGAGTGGCATGTTTATGGTATTTGAAGTGTACATATGTAGTCAAGCATGTGAATGACAGTGTTTATATTGTTTGTTCTGCTGTGTTCCACTTCAGGATCAAAGCTCTGACATGAGGAGTCAAACGAGGAGGGACTACGAAGCGTCCCAGGACGGTTTGAATAGAAGCTTGATGGTAAACATCAACCTGGCAATCACCAGAGCTATCGCAGCACAGGTGCACTGAGGTGAGGCTTTGTTTAGTGTTTAACAAAAGGTGTAATAGCAGCTGTGACACACTCCTGTCAGATACAACATCCCTCACAGCTGTGGGGGTGAAAACAGTGCTGTTTATTTCAGCAGTGCAGCTGATAATCCCGTGGCAAGGCTTCAGAGAGCACAGGAGGGAATAAGAGTAATAAAAGTTGTCAATTATTTATTTTGTTTCTTAAAAGACGCTTCACTAGAACATTATCTGTCTGTGCTGAAACTGACCTTAATGAATTATCTACTCACAGACATGTATTTACCTTTTTTAGTCAAAAACGTACTAGAGTTTGTTTTGTCCTATGGCATTTTTGGACTGATGACCCCTTACAATAAAATCTTTTTAATCAAAATACAAGAGAACCAACTTTTTGATGAATATGAAGTAGAGATGAGATTCATGGTCAGCACTTTAAACCCTGAATGAACTGTTAGAGGCCTGAACATGTAAAGCTATCCACTATTTCACATGACGATCATGAAAAAGATTTCAGATTTTCAGATTTTTTCAAATGTGAGTAGCAGAACAATATTTGTCCTCTTTCCTGTCCCATGAATCATCTTGTGACCCCTCAACTGTATCTCTCAACCCCTTCAGGGCTGGGGACCACTGATCCACACTCTAGATCTAGAAATTGGGCATTTTATGCAGCATATAGTTCATTACCTCTTTACTCAACTATTTCTATTTCCTAGACCTATTGTGTACTGTATGTTTAGACAGGACTTGGCAAGGATCCAGAGAGAGGACACAGCAACACCTGTACAATTTAAACTCAACATTAATAACCTGTCTTTATTTATAAAGTTCAGTTTTTGTGTCAAGTCCTGTTGTTTTTTTAAAATCTTTCAATATATTGCATTAAAGAAAACATGTGACAGGGTCTTAGGGCCACCTGCTGGACAACACATGAAATTGGTTCAAGTACACATTTCACTGGGGGGGCCATTCATTGTAATCCAGTACAACCACGGTCATGTTTACGTGTACCGTAACCGATTATTACCCAATTATAAATTCCTATTACATTTACTGTAAAATTAAGCCACAGGCCAAAGAAGAGGTCTATCTTTGAAGACATGAATTCCTAATTTTGACTATTTTGAGCATTTTCACAATTTTCTGAGCAGCCTAAGTGGAGCTGTGCACTTTCTAATTTGTATAATGATATGATTAATATTCACTGTATATATCCACACCTCAGGCATGTATTGATACACACTGAACAGCCTAGTGTCTGTCATATATCAGGCAACTTATGTCACTTGTTGCCTAAATTTGAGCTACACACAAACACATCTTAATCCTGTTTACAACACACAGAGAGTAAGGACCATACAAGCTAATTATAAAGGGATTGAAATCTTTATTTAGCCTAATACAGTACAGTGCAACGGTTCACCTTAATCCAGTGTTAACATGGTGAGCCCTGGGCCCAACATGACTGGTGAACATTAGCCTGATGGCCAGCATGATATTAATAGCATCCAGATGGAGTCAACACTTTGGTGCGCTTCCTCTTGTGACTGTTAAAAGTCTCTACACCAGAAAACACAGGGTATAGAGTTTACAACACACATAATCTATGATTCCACTGCTTGATAAATACAACTGCAACACGTCTCTTGAGAGGAGTAAAAAGTTGGATACGGTAATTGTTTGGGTGGGGTGGCTCTTAAATATTCAGGCATGGTTATAAAGATGGAATGTGTCTTCTTCTCTCACAGATAACTTCCCCTCGTCCACTTCCCCATCTTGTTTGTGTTTTCGAGTGA